TTTACGAGTTATAACCAAGGAAAGGAAAGTTGACACCACAGGAGTAAGTCACCCCCAAAATATGTGTTAAGTAAGAAGAAGAAGGGGCTGGCCAGTTAGCTTAATTGGTAGAGCATGGAGTTATAACCCAAGATCCAGGGTTCAGTTCCCCATACTGGCCAGCAACCAAAAAAAAAAAAAATTAGAAGGAGGAAAGAAAAGGTTAAGGATAGAACCCTCAGGAAAGCCCACATTTGAGTGGAAGATAGAGACAAAATGCCAAGAACGGACACTGAGAAGGAATAAACAGGAGACCAACAAAGACAGTGTTGTCTAAAAAGAATAGCCACCAAGGACAAAGCCCTGTGCTAAGAGCTTTACAACACACGTTTAATCCTCACGGCGACCCTAGCAGGGAGGTAACATCGTGATCCCCCAGTTTACCCTTCAGGAAACCACAAAGAAGCAAAGAAGGTTTAAGCTATTTGCCCAAGAATACCAAGCTAGTAAGAGATTTAACTAGAAACTGAAACCAAGTTGTCTGACTGAAAAAACTACACTTTAATCTCCTGCTAAATTAAAGAAAAATAAGGGCTAAAAATCGTGCCTTTGGACCTAGCATTTATAACAAAAGGCTAAGAAAAACCCAGGGTTTCAGCTCACACATTGAGTTGGGGTCTGTGACTCCTGCCCCTGGCAAGTCCTTCTTCGGTCATGGGGCAGAACCGAAAACGACAGCAGGTGCAGTGCAAGCGTGAAGATGGAAAATTTCTCATTATGGATTGCATTTTCTTCTCAATAAAGCAAAAATTACTCCCCAAAATAGATCTTCCCAGACAAATGAGTAAGTGGAAAAACAAAGAAAACATGTGTACAGTCTATTATATACAGCAAATGAATTCAGTATTAAAATGTGGAAAGCCAAATATTGATTGTATCTTAAACACTGTAATTTCTCACTCTTATCCTTAACAGTCTGGTAGTCCACATGAAACAGCAATTCCTGCCCTCTTAGGAAATGTTTTCTGGCAGGCAGCAAGAGATGAGCTCCAGCTCCACCTCATCAAAGAAAGCCAAGCTTGGACTAATTGGTCCAAGCCATCCCACAAGAATGGTCTCCTGCCTCATTGAATGAAACTGTCTGTATTAGTCCATTTCTGTTGTTTACAACAGAATACCTAAAAATGGATAATTTATAAAGAAAAAAATGT